TCAGGATTTGTTATAAAAAGCAGAAGAAATTTATTGAAGAAAATGAAATAAGCGCTAATAATGCTTCGTCTGAAATGTAAATTGTTTATCATTCAATAAGGAAATGTTACCTTGGTGTTACGTTCATAGCTCCTGCCCACTGCCTGCAAAGTACCAGAGCATCTAGAAATTTCGTAATCCCACGTCACAATTACTTTATGTATGTATGTGTTTATTTATTTATAACTTTGAAGGAAGCACCTGCAAGTGAGAACAGGGCATTCTTTGAGCAGTCTTAAATAGGGTGAAGATGCATTACATTAAAAGTGCAAGACGACTTTGACTAAATTTAAACATGGCAAAAAGCAAAACAACACTTTAACAGAATTATAGTTAATGTAAATTCAATTTCATTGTTCTCCCCGACAATCCTATATTGAATATATTTATATAACAGACACAGTCATGGCCCTGACTGTAGCTGTACTTTGAAAATCAACTTACAGTGACAGAAAGTTTCCCTTTTGTGCATTTTTCTGCTTTAGTTTTTATTTGTTTTTGTTTTTTTAACATATTTCTGTGATATAAGGAAGAACATTTGTGAGGATTTTTTTATGTTTCAAAAACTTTTGTTAGCAAATAAATGAAATTTAGTTTTGGCACTGATGTTCCTGCCTTTTGGCCATGACTGTAGAGCTTTCCAAGATAAGTCAATATCAGTATCCAACTGTAGCATGGTCAACTGTGTCCAACGATTTCAGCAAATTTTCTAATCACTCTACAGCTTTAAAAAAAAAAATAGTTATCATATTTCAATATGAGATGCTACAAAGCAATTTCAATCTTCTGTAGGGCATCACATTAGACAGTGAGTATAATGACTTCTCTCAAAAATCTTTCACTTTCAGGTGATGGTTTTTCCAGGATAATTTGGATCATCATAGCTGCTGGTGCTAGCATGATGTTTTTGTGCTAAGCAAAGCTACTTTCATTAACCTGTGTGTTCGATATGTGGCACATATGTGGTACAGTACTGATCTTGATTTGTAAATAAGTGCATTTTCCTAATAGTTATCAGGGACTAGAGCAGACAATAACAAACACATTGTCCTTCATATATAACAGTAATAATTATGCATTAACAAAAATCAAACTTAAGTCAGTGAGGTGTGTTATAACAAGACGTTCTCCATCACCCCACCAGTTCTTAACCATCCAAATTTTAAATACAACCCACTTATACATACAAGATGCATCTTTGACAATTGTTGCACTTTATGTAAAACATATATGACTTAAAATCACAAAGCAGATGCGCACAATGGTAAAATCATTTTCAGGCTTTGACACAATGAAAACTACTCAGCTCTGCCGTCTTTTGAGTAAAAATCCAGCATCACATTTTGTTTTAAATTTAAGACACATGATGAAATAATGTTTTATGGTGGAACATTGGCGGGCTATGAGGGTCCTGTACAATACACAAGTCCTGCAGAGTAGGTCGGTGTGCACACAGTGGAGCAATAACAGAAGGCCTTCAGAAATCAACAAATAAACTGTTTAGGTGTGTTTATACACAGTACACGGCTGCACAGCTTCATTGCACCTTTCATTGTTTGTGAAAGTTAACACTTCATTTTTGTGTTGCAAATAGTCATAAATTTCACAAAGATGAGACTGTGGCTTAGAACAAATGTGAAGAGTTCAAACAGACGTCTCAATTCAAATGTATTTGATTATGTTTCATAAAACAAATTTGCTTTGAATTCTGGGTAAATTAAACATGGCCGGGTTGCTTTGTCAGCCATTGTTCTTTAACTGCTCAGCTGTCGTTTTTCTAACTGAAAATACTTCATTTTTTATTGTTTCAGGGGTTTCTACTGCAAAGATTCAGCAAAGACCTATGCATCTATACAATAAAGCTTACAAAAAAATGTTTGCTGAGATGAGGTGGCCTTTTAGCTTGGCTCAGCACTTGAGTATATTGAGTTGAGTATATTGTCCTTATGACTTAATCGTATTGTTATGTTAAACTTGGATTAGGTTCGACATTTCTTTGATAAAACGCCTTCTTTACATTTGTGAAAATATTTAACTTAGATTAAACTTGTGTCATTGTCACTTCATCCTTATGAACTCCAATGTGTGATAACCTTTGCCAGAGACTCAAACATCCTCAGCATCCACTATCTCAACCAGGAAATTGTTTTCTTTCTGCAGACTTTATGTTATAATGGTTCTTTAATGGTTATTTTTGGTCACATCACCACCATGCTCGGTGTTAGGAGACACCTTGAAATATTTTACAGCCTCTCACTTGCCATCAACAGGAAAAGGGAGAAAAAAGAACTAAAAAGAGCTTCGGCCACCAGAGAAACAGATACAATATACAAATAAAAAATATATAAAAATTTTAAAAGAGAAGGATGAAGGAGACATAATTTCTAACTGAAGTAAGTTTTTTTTTCCTGGTTTGGTGATAAGACTATACTAAAGCCGTCTTTTGTCTCTGTGCTGTCTTTGCTGCTTTGAGTTAGGAGAAATAAATCACAGGATCAAGCTAAGGGAAGCTTTAGCACATGCCTTTGGTTGGGGAAGTGGAAAATAATTATCCACTCCACACCACATCATCAAATCATTGCTGAACAGAACATGAAAACCACAGTTTACACTAAAGCCTGTGACACCTTCAGGAAAAAAACAAACAACCAAATGCACCCTCTTTCCATTTTTCTGTCCATTTATCTGCTAAACTGTCTGGACTGCAAAGCAGAAAAATAAGAGAGGCTCTTCCAATAAAGAATTTAGCTGGATACAACCCAGAGTAAATCAACATACGACAGATGATGAAGTAAGACACACTAAATGGATACACAGTAGTACTTGTTCAACCTCACAGGAGATACATATAACTTACCACAGGTGTCCCTGCAGGGTTTAATCCATTTGTCTTCATGTCAAAGGGTTGAGGGTTGGTGCAGGAGCAGTGCTGGTTACGGCATCGTTCACTGGCAGGGTTAAGGTTATAATTTATTCACATAATAATAGATCGAGGGAAAGGAAGAGAGAAAGATAGAAAGAATTGGATTGTTTAAGCCACAGAAAACCATAGTTAATAGACAAAACTGATTCTGTGCCCAGGTTGAAACAAAGGCAAAGGCATATTTTGTCTTGGAATGCATGGAATATGAAGGAAAACAATCAGATCTGAAAGTCCAGTTTTCTCTTTTCAAACTCTTTTCCCACAGTTTATTCTAACTGCCCTTGTTTAGGCTGTCCGTGTGGCAGATGGGAAACAAGAATTGTATATTTGAAAGAAATAAAGAAACAAGAGGTCACATGATAGATAAGACCAAGGTTTATTTTTATGTTTCCACCTGAAAAAATGTTCCCAGTTCAGTCATGTCAACTCTGCAGCTGTGAGGGCGGAATGGGCAATCTTGGACTGAAAAACAAGTCTTCTGGTCCCAATCACCACGGAAGAGTGAGACGGGAAAAACATTACTGCTTCTTAATCAGCCAATCAACATTAAATGCCAACCTTGTAAAAACGACCGTGGATGTTAATATTACCAAATGTGAGGCAACAAAAATGAAACACACAAATGCATTTTAGTCATAGTATTGAGGCTAACTTCAAACTGGCATGCTCCGTTTCTCGAAATTTAGATGTACAACTTTGGCCTTATATATAATGACGGTCATTAAGTCGTCATTATATATAAGGTGAGCACACTGGAAACGTAATCACACAACAAAAGTGAAACTGCATTTGCAAAAGCTCAGAATTAGCCAGAAAGTCTGTACGGCAGTTAACTCACAGAGGAAAATATCAGCCAATCAGAGCACCATATCCCCAAAAAGTGATCAGTTGTGAGGAAGTGAAATAATATAATACACAAAAGATACACAGAAAACAATCATCTAAGTACACCCTGAAAAACTACTGAAACAAAATATCAAGTTGCAATACCTGAATCTAGAAAATCTATCATCTATTATCTGATGCCAGGACTTCCAGTTTAGCCAGCAGATATTTAAACCATGTGCGACAGATGAACACTATCAGATTAGGACAACTTCTTTAAACCGTTTAGATTTAGTTAGACTGATACGAACAACAGTGTTTGGTACATTATCACATTAAGAACAATTTTCAAAGACTAGCAAAATTACTAAACTTGTCTAAATGAAACTAATTCATCAGAATTCATAGAATGTGAGCATTACTCTGCTGCGGATGTCTGTGCATGCCTCTACTCCTGAAGCTATAAACAGGAATAAAAAATAATAAAATGACCTCAGATTAATTATGAAGTTAACAAGTAGGAAAAGCAAAGTGGGATTTGTTCACAATCACCATCTAACACATAGCAGACAGAGGTCTGGCCATGATGAACCCAATCAGTACAGAGTGGTGCATCTAAGTAAAACACTCTGTTTTTCCTCAGGAGCAGCATCTGAAGTGAATCTAAGAGACAGCTGAAGATGGGCCAGTAAAGCAAAGTTGTTGCTTGAAGCAGAATTCCTGGTGGAGAGGGATATCCTTAAATTGCCAGAGAGAAACTCATGAGCCAGTGGTCTGTGTTGTTTACTATGTTTTCAATCTTCTCTAATGGTAAAAATTCACATTGCCTCACAGTGTCGGTTTTCTGCTCTGAAGGGGAGGATCATAAAGGATACTCTTATATAAAATAAATTTGGCATTTGAAAATATATTTAACGTGTAATTAAAACTGAAGTACAGCGTAAAAATCTCGACTTACGCCTCATTTATTTGTTATTTTTCTTCCAAAGGGGCCAGACTTTTATATATTTTTTTAAACATGTTCACAATTTCTCCGGGCTTTCTGAAGATCTTTCAGAGTTTTTCTTTGGTCATTGGGTAGTTTTTCACTCATTTTCAGTCAAGTCTCTGAACCTGATCATTTTCAGAGGAAAACCTCAACCATCAAAAAAAACCTCTATGCGAGAGCACTTGGTTTTGGGGGAGCATCTGCTGTGACTGGTTTGGGGTGAGAGGAGAAAGACAGGATAAACCAACACAGACCAATGAATCATTCATAAAAAAGGCACCTAACTCAAGAGATGAACCAGTGTTCTGTCTACTCACAGCAGACAACTCAACAATAAAACAATTTTAAATTGTATTTTTAGGCACTTTGTTATTAGCAGCCCATTCACTGAATTCATTTATTCCCATTTCTTTAGTAATAATTGAACAATTCCTTAGATAAAACAAGAGCTTTTAGTCAAAAAGTTGGGTGTGCAGTGTGTCCTTAAAAAACTGGAGAAGCTGGACAAAAGGAGGACAAAGGAAGAAGTGGCAAAACTATCTACAACAGACGAACAGTATCTAAAAGCCCTGTCCTTGGGAAAGGACAGGACAAAAAAAATCAGCAATGACTTGACATGGGACCTTGGAGATACAGCTGGACCTTCATTGGATCTACTATCTGCTGATCACTGAATACTCATCACACATGGTCTCAGTGGAAGGGTGGCTGTCAAGAAGCCATTCTAAAGGGAAACAGTGAGAAAAAGATGAAGAATGCCAAATTATGCAAGAACTGGAACGAAAATCAGCGGCAATAGGTCTTATGGTTCAAAATTTGAACTTTTGGGTGAAATTGTCATCAATATGAATGAAGGAGGTCAGAAGAAAGGTACAACAATGAGCGTCTACAGCCATCTATAAAACGTGATGGAGGTAATGCATTTCAGTCAGTGATGCTAGAGATCTTGTCCAAACTGATGGTATGGATGCAGAACCATCAGACTTCACCCATCTGGAAATCCTCTGATTGGCAAAGGCTTCATTTTTCAGGATGACAATGAGAATGTAGAAGGATAGATAAACATAGTGGAACACCATCGTTTATGGATTGGCATCCCCAGAACCAAGACCTCAACATTGTTGAAGCACTGTGGGATCATCTTGATAGAGAACAGAACAAAAGGCAGAAACATCCATCTTTGAATTTCCTTCAAGACGTCTCGAGAACTATTCCTGAAGACTACTTAAAGAAATTATAAGAACACTTCCCTAAGAGAGATTGTGTTGAAGAATAAGGGCAGTCATACCAAATACTGACTTTTGTAAAGTACAGTGTGAAATTTTGAATGTCACTAATAGTAGAAAAGCACTATAAATTCCAGTCTATTTAGTCTATGATCCTGCCACAGAAACATAAACATTATTCTCAGTCACACAAACACTGAAAACCATATCAAACATCCATAAAGGTTAAAGCATAAGGATAAAGTAAATGAGCACTTCTAAATCAATAAGCTTTAAAATTTAGATTCCCATATGTCCTTGCACTTGCCAAAAACAAAATACTGTCTTACTGTACGCTAATGCTGCTGATGCCTTTGAGAAAAACTTTCTGCTGTAAAAAACACAAGTGAAAACCATTAGAGAGTTCTGGCACAAACCCTAACATCACCTAAAAATGAACAACTGTATCCAGCAAAAAGAACTGTGAATAAATACACACCAGAAAGGCCCCTACGTAAAGGAAAGTACAGTAGATTGCAATGAACTGCAGACAACCTGACAGCATGTGCAGCATGTGGGAGATATTCTCCATGGCAGCATTCAGATCCAGGTCTGTAACGACCATGCTAATGCTTGATTGCGTTTAATTTGATACAAATGAGGACATTATCCAGCAATTTACCAGGAGCAAGTTTTACACAATATCTCACTTCATTACCAAACGGGATAATATGACTGGCAGGTCATCTGTAGCATATGTGAAAACTGAACTGTGAATTTCTTTAAACCTTTTTCTTTCCCGCTCTCTCAGGGGACTGTACTCGAGAGATGTGGTGCTGGTGTCATAAAGTATGCTTCCCTGAAAAACTGCTGAAAGATTTCTGACAGAAACAGGCCAACATCTAATTGGGCCTGGAGAAGAGGAGAATTCTAGCTCTTAACTCTTTTTTTTATTCATCCCTGTGTTTCCCATTAAAATAGTTTCCAGCCACTGAAAAAAGGATTTGAAACAGCCAGCCTCAGGTAGTACCTTCTAGAGCATTTGCCAGACCATTGGGATGAACTCTAGACCTGGTTCTGACGTTTAACTCTTTCCAATAACATTTAAAACCTTAAATTTAAAAAAAAAAAATCTATGCACATTCAACCACTATTTTTTAGGCCATCACACACTAAAAGCACACATTTTTTAGAAAATATATAGTGATTATCTTCAAAATCAGAGAGCATAATATATGATATAAACAATAACAATAGACAACACAAAAGTCTTACTTTCATTATCTGTTCTGTCACTTAGAGGTCTAAACATAACGCTTCAGTAAATCTAAATCTAAGTTAGACTAGCAACAGATGTTTAAACGTTAAACAGAACGCGTCTCATCGTATCTGAATTAGTCTTAGTGCCGTTGATAGTCATGTGGAAAATGTGTTGTGTGTGAAAATAGGACATTTGACAAAGGAAAGAATGTACAGTAAATGGTTCCAGTTGTGGGGTGGCTCGTGATTTTGATCCAGCTGTCAGAAGAAAATTATGTTTATGGGGCCATTTTTTCACTAATTTGAATCAGCACATTAGAAATGCAAATAAACAATAACTGTAGGAAAAATGAAAAGTAAAATAAAATTAGAAAGTAAAAGTGATAAATTTCAGTCTAAAATGTTCAGGTAATATTCTGTCCCTCACAAAAATAAGGAACCACGGACCTTTTATTCTCTTAATGTGTAGACATCTGTTTCATTTCAGCTCACTGTGAGAGTCTCTAGTGTGGTAGCAAGTAGGACATAAGGGTAAAACATACATGTTACCCCTCAGCCCCTTGCAGACACACCTATGGTAGCAATTTCAAAATCCTAGGTGACTTCCTTCTTGAGTTATCGCATTCACAAGATTTTCACCAAACTTGACGTCTGACCTTTAATAAGTCGAGATCAATGAGATTCAAACTCGTCCCAGATTTTTGGTAGATACACCTAAATTATCAATTTGAAGTTTGAGGGATTCCTCTTTCGCTCTTTCTCACACACACACACACACTCTGTGTATCATCTGAGTTTACTTTGTTACAGCAGCAGTTGGAGACTCAGTGTGTCTGTTTACTTCATCCTCGACTTTTTCCCCCACCCCCATTCTTTTTTCTCACCCTTTACTTTTTCTATTTCAATAACAAGAGGAGGCTACAGAAAGTCTTCGGTGTTCCTCTTGGGAAAGCAAATATGTTTCGAACAACAAAGCAGGACAGGACAGGACAGGTTAATAAAAAATATATAAATAAATTTAAAAAAAATTGAAGCTCCTAACGTCACCTCTTTTTCCAGTTATCGCATTTACAAAGTGGGTCCACGCCACCCACCGACTATTTAGGGCTGAGAGGTAAAAAGGAGTGAAGCAAAAGAGCAGCCTAAAGAGAGCCAGACAAATTTTATGACAGCTTTACCTTCAACTAAAATTTCCCTACTTCTTTTCACAAGTTAAAGTATGGTGAATCAGAGTACGGAGCTATTTTAACCATGTTCACTGTTAAAGTGCTCGTAGAGTGAACTCAGCTTTGGAATATTCTTAAACTACATTTGCAGCATGCATTTTGTCCTAGTAAATAAAATATTAAAGTCTCTGTGAAAGGTTTCAGAGAATAAACAATTTTAAACCGAATATGTCCATTGTCTGTCTAAAAGTACATTTAGTAGTTGACAATGTGTACATTAGGTACAGCTGTTTAATTACTCATTAATGTATATATAGAATCAGCCAATATAACATGGCTGGAATTTAATGGATATAGGCATGTAGAGATGGTCAAGGCAAGTTGCTGAAGTTCAAACTGTCCCGTTTGGTTCTTTTGCCATCAGAATTATTGTCTAAAGGCGAAGAAAGATGCCCAACGGATTTACTTTACCAAATTGACCATCCCAGCCTTGCCGTAATGGTCTATTT